CCGACGGGATCAGAGCTCACCCCGATCGGGGTAAACTTGCCCCGTCGGTGTGTATAGACTGATCAATTCACACCTTTCCTGGCTTTGTTTTGGGATTTTGCACCTCTTTGACCAGAACTCCCACCCCGTCGGGGTGACATTACCCCGTCGGGTTTAGTGATTATGACAGTGTCACCCCGAGGGGGTGAGTACCTTACACCGACGGGGTGAGTACTTTACACCGACGGTCCTGTGATTTGGTCCTGACGGGGTAGCTGCTAGCCCCGTCGGGGTGCTGAAAAACCCGTCGGTCTGCTTGCATTTTCTATAAATGATATCTAAAGTTATGAATACTGCAGAACAATAATTTTCATATCACTATACTCCTTACATCAAGACCTGCGCACTGATGTGAAACTTGAATGCAAAATGTTAATTTTTACTTGACATTCCAAATGGCCAGTGACTTTCCTAAATAAAGATGACCAGTGTTATTACGTCTGTCTTTTGATGCTGTAACCATGTAAACATTTGCATTCTTTTTTCTTTTTCTCTTAGCCCTCTTGTATTCAGGGATAGTACACTTAATTTTTCTTGTCGAGCCATAGTTCCAATGTTTGTAAACAAATACTTACGTATGTTTGTTGTCTCTGTATGTATAAAGAGTATTAATCAATAATCCATATTCGTAGTCTAGTCCGTTCTGCTTTCTTTCCCGTAGATGACGTCGCTTTATCTGCATTAGCGTTCATGTCACTGCGGTTTGTGTTTCCTCCTCGGCAAATGAGCTTTCCCGCTGTTGTAGGTCCTCCATCTGTGTTTTTTTTGTTGGCAATGTCTGTGCTGTTTCGGACGACGAGCTTGGCTCTCGAGGCCTCTTCGCTGGTTGAGATTCCTTTCCTTTTCGTAGGTATTTTAAGATTGATGACACTTTTGCTTCGTCCATATCGCCAAGTGAGTTACTTCTTTGTCTTGGCTTCTCCTTCTGCATAACCGGTGTGTCATCTTCGTTTGTGTTGTCGTCTTGTTTTTTCTTGCCTTTTTTTTGTTTCTTTTTCTTTTTCTTATCTTTCTTGGTCGTAGGTTCTGTTGACTTGTCGTCACTTTCACTTTCTTCTGATTGTTTTTGTTTATCTTCGGTGTTTGGGGATTCCCCCATGGTGGATGTATTATTTTCCTTTCCAGTTTGGCTTACATGCTCCTCATACGCTCTATCAATGAAGTCCATATTTGACTCTGTTGTAGGTGTGCTGACAGCGGTCTGAGTGTCATCATTTGCTTTATTTTGGTCGCTGGCTGTGTGAGTTATCTGCTCTCGGTCTAGTTCTTGTCCGTTGTAGAAGACTCGTGCCCAGTGTGTCCCAATCTTCACATTTCGTTGTATGGCTTTTGTGGGTTTTTGTTCGATGTAAATCAGCCTGTCTCCGTTGCTGCAGTTGGTAAGTCGGTTGTTATATCTGATTTTTCTGTGATTCACTCGTCCGACTGTTTTGCACCCTGCATTAGTCAGGAATTCCACTATAATGCTGTCATCAGCTGATTCTGGAATGTCCTTGATTGTAATTAGTGTGTTGTTCATGTTCTGCATTCTGTGTTTCAGGCTGAAAGGATTCGTTTCCTTACAGTCGACCGATTTAGCCCTTACGGTGATCCCTTCGATCAGCAACTTCGCTCTCGCTTCATTACTGTGTAGATAGATCCTCCATAAGGCCCGTACTCTCTGGATTGATCTCAGGTGGGCTGGATTAATGCTTTGTATCAGACAATGATACATCTCTTCCTCCTTTATGGGATTTGCATAAGCCTCTTCTTTCGTGACAATTTCCCTCTCCATTATGAATATAGGAAAACCGTTTCCCTGGTGGTTCCTCGCTTTACTACTGTCGACCAGCTCACCTCCGCGTCGGTCGCCATGTTGTCTTGTTGTTGTCAGGACGCCGGCCGGCGTCCTTCTGGAGATGAATGAAATGAAGCACCAGCTAGACACAGAACTCGCTTCTGCCCGCTGTACGTTGGTCTCTGTGGCTTTATGGTGCTTTTGGTCACACTACAGTTTCACGATTCGTTTGATAGTTTGCTGTGTACCGAAAACGCTGCCGCCTTGGCTAGCCTCGTTTTCAATCCCCAAAATAGGTTTTGTTTTAATATGGTGCACCCCAAAAATTTTTTGTATTTTAGGTTGGGTGGACCTATATTCATAAAAATGTATTTCAAGCCCTGTGAAAG